CAAAGGGACATTCAAACTCATAAACTGGAATTTGTTTGCACTATTTTGTCCCGTTTGTAAGTAAATTGTTATCCATTTTGAAGTACCAATTTATGCGTACCAATTCGAGTTTGGTGTGGGTCGTTGATACAAATAATTCATAGAATTATACTAGAAAAGAAAGGATATGGGTATCCATCCATGACAAAATCAATATATGCACAGGAAAACACACAAAGAGCAAATGAACATCGCTTTTATTGCTGTTCTTCATCTTAAAGGCACAGCTAGGCCTTCAACAACGAGCAAGAAATCTCTCTAAAACGGCACCACAGACCGGTTTGAACAAAATTAAACCTTCAAGTCTAACGTGTTTCCTTTGATTGTAACGTCAGATAATGTATCTGTGTGTTAATATGTATGTGTCGGTGTGTTTCATCAGCTAATCTTCTTTTCGGCGATAAAGTGTATCGACAAGTAGTAGGTATTCCTATGGACACTTACTGCGCCCCTTTAATAGCAGATTTATTCCTGTATTGCTATGCATCTCAGTTTATGACCAAACTTAGTAAAGACACGTCATTGTTAAATTTGGTTGATACATTCAACAATACCTAGCGTTATCTGGATGATATTTTTTCGTTAAATAATCCAGAGTTCTCTAAATATACTACCGAAATTTACCCAAAAGAAATACTTTAACTAAATCTAACATTAACAGCAGTAGTTGTCCTTTTCTAGATTTAGACATTTCAATTTCTAAAGGGAAACTCCATACTAAAATTTACGACAAAAGAGACGATTTTTTTATTCCCTATTGTTAATTTTCCTTTTTTAGACGGGGATGTTCCTTTGGTTCCATCATACGGTGTTTATATATCCCAACTCGTTCGTTATGCCCGTGTGTGTAATGATGTCATAGATTTTAACGAACGTAATCAATGCATTACTGATAAATTATTAAGTCAGGGATTTCGTTACCATAAATTACTTAAAACATTTACTAAATACTTTCATAGATACAGAGATTTGATTAGTAAATTTGGCTGTACCTGTAGAAAACTTATTAAAAATGGTACTTCATATCCTAAATTTTACGGTAATATTGTACTTAAAGCGCGGAAATCACTATGTGATCCGTGTTAACTCATCGAACCTTTAAACAAACTTATTAGTAAAGGTTATCTTACCAATATTGTAATTAGATCTTTGAATGTAATTTACATTGGCACTTATATCGATTTTGTCATCAACAAATACAAACTGTAAATTTGTATTCTTTTCAAATGGGATGTATAAGACACACCTACGTTCATTTGTATCTATTAAGAGGTTAACTATCCTACTGCCTGTCGATACATTTATTTTTTTGCATTGCACAAGTCATGTCTTCTTTGACTGTCCATGACGTTAAAATACTAAATCCCTGGAATGTGTTTTAGTTGATTTTAGTCTCTGATGCATGGTTTTTTATTATTAATTGTTTTTGGATCTTAACTAGCTGTCAGTAACTGCGAGTACTCTCAAATGGTACTTTGTTGTTATTTGACCTGTTGATGATATTTGTTATGCTTTTTTGTAATTTAATGTTTACTTATTCAGGGTTATATTTGGTCTATATACCAGCTTTGATAAGTGTTTGGTATTACTATAAATTTTCACTTCTTCGAACTATGAACATCAAAATTATTTATTTTGTAAAAATATTTCTTCCTTTCTCCTTTTAAACTATATATCTAACAACAAAATTAGTTTCATTTACCTGTATATAATATCATTGTAAATGGCGGATTTTTGTTTAAGGTTATTTTTGTTTTTCTGAAATTGTTTAACATTTCACAGCGGTATAATACTGTTACTTTAATTATTCATCCCTTATTTTATTGATTTTGTATTTGCGTTGTATCATAGATCAAATTTATTCGTTCAGTGCATGTTCACTTGTGTTAATATGTCTTTTGATTGAGTTAAGCCATTTATGATTATAGTGTGTCTTTCTGTGTTGTGATGTTACAATATTGTTTTAGATAAGGGCGAAGGTTTGGTACCATCGTTTAAACCCGCTGCAAGTGTTTGCACCTGTCCTAAATCAGGAATCTGATGTTCAGTAGTTGTCGTTTGTTGATGAGGTTCATAAATGTTTCTCGTTTCTCGTTTTTTTTTATATAGATAAGACCGTTGGTTTTCCCGTTTGAATGGATTTACACTGGTAATTTTTGGGGCCCTCTATAGCTTGCTGTGCGTTGTGAGCCAAGGCTCCGTGTTGAAGACCGTACTTTGACCTATAATGGTTTACTTTAAAATTGAGAATTGGATGGAGAGTTGTCTTATTGGCACTCATACCACATCATCTTATATCTATTTAAACATTTCATTCTTAATCGTGTATTATTTACAATGTAATGTTATCATCATAGTTAAGCGTCATCATCTGAATCTGTTCACTTTATCCACTTACAACGAGTGTTCAATAATATGATTTCTGACTCTCTCATTTTACTTGTTTCCAAAATTGTATGGAAAATATAAATGAACTCTTTTGGTGAGTTTTTTTATTTCCTTGATAGGTTTTTGTCACATCTTCAATATACCTGATAAAAAATCCTCTTTGGAATAATTCGAAAAAAATAAACAGCTTATATGGAGTTAAAAGAATAATTGTTCATACATTATGTAACTGACTGTAATTTTATCAACCCGTTGTTTTCAATTTAATTAAATTCTTTTGAAATGAATGTTTATCCTGAAGAAGAAAAAGTTAAAGAAAAAGAAAATTAGGTCCTTACTTTTCGGTCAAATTAAACTGAATCTAAACAAAAATATGACTTGCAAATAAAACTTATGCAAACGGACAAACACCTTGTTTCGGTAAACGAATGATAAGTTTAATCAAAATATGTATTAACAGTCTTAATATGTTAATGACAGTTATCTGGTATAATTTATCCTCATTAAACTTAAATATTTTCAGGTCGGTTTTATCGACATTTATTTTTTTTATCATTATGTTTAAAATTGAGTGTATATAATTAAACGATTTACTACAAAATATGTTTTTCTGATATGTTGTCTACTAATTTCTTCTCCTAATATACATTCACGAACATACATGAGGGGGTTGGTAAACGAAACGACATACAATTGAAAACTTTCTACATTTGATTGTAAAATATTTGTAGAAATTATATTGATTAACAACTCTGAATAAGACTAAAACAAGTGCACACACAGTTACACATGATATGATGAAATTTCACAGTTTTCCTATCTAGTGATAACATTTGTTTAATTAACTATCATTTATTTAAATGGATTTTCAGAATGATTATAATAGTTTAAATCGACAATAGTTAGGTTCACTGGCCATATATTCGTCTCGTCTAGAAAAAATTACAATAATTTAGAGAAGGTTGAAATTGGCTAATAAAAGGAAAGTTAGCCTTTCAAACTTCTCTAAGATAACAGTATTTGAAATGTCAGATATTCAATGTAATATTGTAAGTTGTTCTCACTTTCACTAGACTATTTACTTAGAGATTAGCTCAAATTCGAATTCCTTCTTATATGTAGGTATATAAATTTTAAAAAAATATCTTAGAGGAACTCGTTTTAAAAATAATGCAATCATTGTTAGTCTTTGACGGAAAATGCAGGATTAAATTTCACAGTATCTAGAAAGCTAAAGTAGTAATAATATAATCTGAGCGCCAAATAAACCTTCGACATGTCTAATTGCTATATTTTAGAAACTTTGCAGTGTGATATAAAATATTCTATTTAGATACAAGGATAATTTTCGTTTAATGTATAATTATAAAGTATGTGATACCATAGAACATATGCAATCGTGGTATAACTGTTTATTACTGCTACTCAATTTGTTTTAAGGATGTTCGCTCCTCTTGTTTTTGTTTTTTGTTAGATATTCGGAATCCTCTGGTTTTATCCATGTTAAGTGCCATAAAAAATTTGCCCACTAACCCCTACTTTTTTTTTCATAATTTTATAACGCATAGCTTAAAAAGCCATATTTGAACTTTTTATAAAATCCTTGTTATTTTTTCATAGTTTTTGAAACAAAAAAGGTGCCAATGTTAAATGTAAGAAAAATCTAGAGAGAATTATTACCCGCCAAATTTTCAATGACTTATATCTCGAAAACAAGGACACTGACCCTTAATTTTTTTCTGCTTTTTTAGTTTCTTTATTTATATACTATCAACTTATAACAGTCTTTTAAAAAGCTTGTTATTTTGAAATAGAGTAGCGAACATCCTTAAGGACAAAATATTAATCACGAAATCGCAAACAATTACCGATACATTTTTTTTTATCAAGGTTCCAATACCTTTTTGTCAATAATACCCGAGAATACCTTTTAGAGAAGAATGATAGCCCAGATATAAAAACTTATCATAGATACTTGGCTTACAATGTGGCAGGCCACACGCGTATTGCATCTACTATACGACTTATGGTAGCGCTCTATTCAAAACAGGTGCAAAGCCAAATAAAAAAAAAAAAAAAAAACCAGAAGAATTCAAATGTTAAATGAAGGTCAAAATACATCATTCTAAAATAATATAACTTACAATTATAGAAATTATTACTAAGCTGAATAATACCAAACGGACATTTTTTTAAATAGAAACATTTAAAAATTATATGCACACGATCTTGATATTTCCACAGATTTTAAACTGCATTAATATAATGAACAGTCAAATCAATGGTGATGATAATTATGATTTTAAAAAAATGCCAGGCTATTTCTACTTAAAACCTTTTTTTTCTGAATCGTCGATTGAATTGATAAAGCTTTTTAAATGGTCATCATAGGTAATATGAAACATGTGAAAGTTCATTGCTCATATAAAATTTTATTTAGGAAGGCGGATAATGATTTAATAAAGGTAATTGGTTTATAAAGAGATAAGTTTTTTCAAACCAGGATAATCGGCAGGTTTTGAAATGTCAGTAATTTGTTGTAAACATTTAAATTCGTTCCCACTCACTTTATGATTTACTTGAATATTCACTTCTCGAATGTTAGCTTATATTCTACATAGTGTAAGTATATATGTTATTATTTTTTAAGTCAGATAATTCTTGGAATTTATGACAGTGGATGTTAAGCAAACATCAATTAATCTTAGAATTTAATCTGGGTAAAACATTGATAGAAAAAGACAACTAATCCATGTTACAAGTTGTAATAAATCTTATTGTAAAGTCAATACCACATGATGATGTGTCGAAATGGTTTATTTCAATAACACAAACATACATATCAGAACACTAGAATTGGATTCTAAAAGGATCATTAATAGGCCCGGTACAATTTTACAAGTGTCAACTTCATTTTCTACTAATCGGCCAACAAAATGCGGATGAACCGTAAATCCCCGAGGGTATCACCAGCCATGTCCTCAAAGATATGCAAATGACATGATTTATACCATGCATGTCTTGACTTTTTATTAATTCTAGCTAATTGAGAACACTTACCAAAGATATTTGACTATTATTTCAAATTTTGTTTTAGACACATAGCTCCTTAAGTATATCTTGTTATGGCCAGAAATTACCTTTAAACTTTAGCCAATAAAAGACAAAAATCAATAATCAATTTAACAATTTTTATTATACAATTTTACAACGAATATTATACAAATAGAAATGTCACCTTAACTGTAAATATATCTGAATGTCCGATCTCAGTCTTTTCTTTATCTGGAATTATGTTCCAACTGTTGTGAAATCCAAACGGAAAACAAATATGTCCAATAAGTTCAATAACTAGTAAGATGTTGTAGAAATCACGAATGAAGATATTTCTATATTTCTCGATAAGTCAAATTCAGTGTCTGTATTTATAGTTGCCACGGAAACTTCAAGAACACTATAGAAGTTTAAATTACGCATCATAGAGTATGATAATTCTGCAATTTTTATGCAAGTCAGTCAAATAGAAAGTTCTAATCATTCCATCAACATGTACAATTGTTCCAGTTATTTCTAAACTGCACAATAACATTATTTTGTACACAACTATAAGTAGGCCACAACCTAATTATGTAAACATCTTATAAGGCCTCAAGGTTGCAATTCTGTAAATATAGACAATGCAATTTCCCATAGGAACTCCCTTTACGGCTAAAACTGTGACACTTTTACTATGAAGTTTCGTGAAAAATAATATCCCAGAACGGAAAGTTTATATGCACTACTATTTTATTCAAAGGTCAAAATATAGGGCTGTGCGGCATATTTTCAACATTTATATGCCCTGAACTTCTAAGAGTTTAAACTTATACTAAAATTCTATACTACCCTTACCTTCATATTTGGACCTCCTAAGAATTAAAATTTAGGCGCTACCATGTTTTTCTATACTGGTTACATTCCCAAGTGATGTCTCTATGAGATGAAACACAGAGATCATAAATGGGAACCAGTACATTAACAAATTAACATATCTATGAATATTATATATCTCCCCAAAAGAGGCGTGGTTTGAGAAACAGCTGTATTTACAAAGTGCAACCTATACAAACATTTATTCAAATAGAAAACCTTCTAAAAACACTTTTTCTCACAACATTACTTATTTATCAGAATTATAGCCTTAAGGAAATCACTGCATATACTGTAAGTTCCCTTTTACAGTACATTTTATACCCCTACCCCTGTTTCAATTTTTTAAAGAATTTGAAAACAAGACTTTAATCATTGCCAGCTTACCCTATGTGCATGTTTTCTGACATGAAATGTCTAAAACATGTTTGAAACTATTCTGATAACAAATTGAAAGCATTTTAGAATACTATAAATGTATTGTTTAGTAGTTAATCATTCCAACAGTCAAGATTATACAAAGTATCCAATCCTGCCTGTGTCTCCAGTCCACATCTTACTGTATGCCTATTTGTCAATGAAAGTTCACAATTTCTGTCTCAAATGGTCAGTTAAGAGTTCTTGTCACAACAGTATCATGTTTAACCATATAACTAACATAAGTTAGTTAATGTATGAACTAGAAGTGTCTAAACAAAGCTATATTTGCAAAATTGTATTTAAGAAGATATCAGTCTGGTGCATAAATTCACTAAAAGTTTGATAGAAATGACTGCTTACATCTTATTTTTGCATAACTTTCCAGCACAGTTATTGTTTTGTTTACAAAAGACCTTGAAAATAATAAAATCATAGCATTTTCAAGTTAAATTATCTGTTTTATGACCCAGGGTAGGCATTTTTTTTCTGTTTTTTGCCCCCTGGGGCCTCACATTTCCTAAATATTTTACCTGTTTCTAGCAATGTGGAATATTTAGTATATATTTAGGATAGAACACACTATTGTAAGTTTTATTGAGGTCTTTTTGTAATTCTAGCTTGTACTTTTTAATGCCGCGGTCACAAAAAAACACATTTAGGTGTTACGGCTTACTTTTGGGTTATCGACAAGACAAAAATAACCCAACAAAATTATTTAGGATGGATCAATGAGTTGCAATGACTGCGAAGAGTAAATATAAGCACTTCTAAACAATTTAAATCACAAATAGGCATATATCATGAATTTATTTTGAATTCAGGGATTTAAGTAAACCATGCATACTGTAAACTGTGAATTTATGCTGAGTCATCATAGTTAAGGCTCAGGATTTTCTCAATCTTCATGAAATATTTATAAAACTTCATATTTGAGTTAAATTCTTTAAAATCTCTGCGATAAACCAGATTTTGTGAAATTCTGTATGTTCTATTTTTTAATCCTATATAGGTTGCAATTCTGTAAATATAGACAATGCAATTTCCCATAGGAACTCCCTTTGCGGCTAAAACTGTGACACTTTTACTATGAAGTTTCGTGAAAAATAATATCCCAGAACGGAAAGTTTATATGCACTACTATTTTATTCAAAGGTCAAAATATAGGGCTGTGCGGCATATTTTCAACATTTATATGCCCTGAACTTCTAAGAGTTTAAACTTATACTAAAATTCTATACTACCCTTACCTTCATATTTGGACCTCCTAAGAATTAAAATTTAGGCGCTACCATGTTTTTCTATACTGGTTACATTCCCAAGTGATGTCTCTATGAGATGAAACACAGAGATCATAAATGGGAACCAGTACATTAACAAATTAACATATCTATGAATATTATATATCTCCCCAAAAGAGGCGTGGTTTGAGAAACAGCTGTATTTACAAAGTGCAACCTCAAAGACAAATTCGTTCAAGGTAAATAACCATAATAAATACAATCTCATCACTATATGCTTACCTGGCTTTCCTTTTGGATGCTCCTGATGAAGTCAAATATAGACAAAAGCTTCGAACATAACACTTTACCTCTAATGTTGGGCTGGTATTCTCTGATATTATCATTAGCTCAGTATGTTGCGCATAGCAACTATAATTTGTAACATTCATTTCTGATATCTGACAATTTTCTGTATTTTCTATAGGCAATATTGGGCATTAAAGGTTGTTTTATTTATGATTTCCGGTCGAATAGCTTTTAAAATATTAGTTATTTGTATATTTCATAGATATTTTGGCTTTATGCGTTCATTGACAAATGTTGATTCAGAGATGTTCTTCCGTTTCACCAAATTTATTGAATTTTATTTTGAAGATAAATTATTCATTGTCCAGTTCCCCTATTGTTGTTTACATTGATTAACGTATAGTGTCAAGGGGTTTCATCTCTAAATACTTGTATAAAGTATTGCGCCATGTGAACCGATTCGATAACATACATGTACATGTTTTATGAAGTCTTAACTAATGTTGTTATATTAAGAATATTTGATGTTCTTGTTTTTTTTTCTTTTCATAATTCTATTAAATATAAAGTATTGCACTATGTGAATCAATATGATTACATACATGTTCATGTTTTATGAATTCTTACCTAATGTTGTAATATTATTTTATCCATGTTATCGATGAAGTGCCGTTTAAATTTGGCAAGCTCACCCCTACTTTCCGTTTCATAATTGTATTACCTATAGGTTGGTTAAACAATCATTTTTGAAAATCTTATAAAATGCTTGTTGTTGTTTCATAGTTTATGAAAGAACAAAAGTATTAATAAATTGAGAATGGAAATGGGGAATGTGCCAAAGAGACAACAACCCGACCATAGAGCCGACAACAGCCGAAGGCCACCAATGGGTCTTCAATGCAGCGAGAAACTCCCGCACCCGGAGGCGTCCTTCAGCTGGCCCCTAAACAAATATGTATACTAGTTCAGTGATAATGGACGTCATACTAAACTCCAAATTAAACACAAGAAACTAAAATTAAAAATGATACAAGACTAACAAAGGCCAGAGGCTCCTGACTTGGGACAGGCACAAAATGCGGCGGGGTTAAACATGTTTTTTGAGATCTCAACCCTCCCCCTATACCTCTAGCCAATGTAGAAAAAACAGACGCACAACAGTACGCACAGTAAAACTCAGTTTAAGAGAAGTCTGAGTCCGATGTCAGAATAGGAAACAAAAGAAAATAAACAAAATGACAATAATACATAAATAACAACAGACTACTAGCAGTTACTGACATGCCAGCTCCAGACCTCAATTAAACTGATTGAAAGATAATGTCTTCATCATATGAATATCAGGCACAATCCCTCCTGTTAGGGGTTTAGTATTATACCATCATAAAATATATGAGAAGAACATAACCCGTGTCATGCCAACAACTGGTTTTAGATTAAATATGTTTAATTCCGATGCAAAGACCCTATAAGTGAATCAATATTAAAGCCAAAATATGCAATCTTTAATGACCTGACAACACTATCGTAACTATATCCCTTCTTAATAAGTCTGTTTAAAGGTTTTGTTAGCTTTTGAGGTGAATACTGACATTTTTGTGCTTTGTAAAGAATATTACCACAAAAGATTGGATGTGAAATACCCGAACGTATAAGATGTCTGCATGTTGAGTTATATTTACGAATGATGTCCTTATACCGATGATAAAATTTAGTAAATGTTTTGACTAGTTTATGATATCGAAAACCCTGGTGTAATAATTTTTCAGTAATGCATAAATGTCTCTCGCTAAAATCTAATACGTTGTTACATACACTAGCGAATCGTTCAAGTTGAGATATATAAACACCATAAGATGGTGACAAGGGAACGTCACCATCTAAAAATGGATAATTAACGATAGGAAATGAAAAATCATCTATTTTATCATAAATTTTTGTATTAAGCATCCCGTTAATGAAATAGATATCAAGATCGAGGAAAGGATAGTGGTCATTGTTAGTAATAGCTTTATTTAAAGTAAGTTCAACAGGATAAATTTCTTTAGTATACATACTGAAGTCGTCATTATTGAGAGCCAATATATCATCCAAATATCTAAAAGTTTTGTTAAATTTTTGTATCAGATGTTGTTTCGATGGGTCTTTGCTGATTTTAGTTATAAATTGTAACTCATAACAATACAAAAACAGGTCCGCAATAAGTGGTGCACAGTTAGTCCCCATTGGAATTACGATAACTTGACGATATATGGAATCTCCACAGCGAACAAAAATGTTATCAAGTAAAAATTCAAGGGCAGATATAGTATCAAAGCCTGTCCAAATGTAAAATGTTTTATTAGTATGCCCTGCCTATAGATCAATTAGGCTTAAATATTTGTCAAAATTTTATTGGTCTTAGCCAACAATTACTCAATTACAGTATTTATTCAAATTAATATCTGTTTTGCTTACTAAAGAAATTGTGTAATTGCATAATATCTGCGGGGTAAATGCTTCCTGCAATAAAGTATCCATTCATTCAAAAATATAGAGAGAACCATTTATCGGAATTTTTTCAATGGTTTGTACGAAAAAAAAAAAAATAATGACAAGGACCTTTCATTTTGTCTGAGCATTTACTTCCATTATCTTTATACTATCAATGTACAACATTTTTAAAGTCATGTTATTTTGAAACAGAGCAGCCAACCTCCTTAAACTATAAAATTACTAAGTGCACATCAATTTGTATGCATATTTGACGTACTCAATCGGGGTTTTGGCTTCGAGTTTTGTTTGTGAAATGTTTTTAAGATTAAACAATGCGTACATTTGCTTCCACATGTTCATTTTGAAAATGTATTTTTTAACATTGAATCGAGAACAGAAATCATGTCTAAAAAACCCGCTGAATCTATGGTTGGTTGACATATCCTTTGTATTAATTTTCACTTATATCTGAAACCTAATTGCAGTTGTGATATTTTGGTTCTGTACCCAAAAAATCAAAAGATTGACTGAATTATTCACCTTGATGGTAATTTGGAGGTTTTGTTTTACCTCATTTAACATGTTTTTAAGTTTACCTAATTATGTTAAATGTCATCTAATAGTCACTCGAATTATCCTTTGAACAATTTCACATTAAACTAATTTATAATGTCATGAGAAAAAGTATATTATAGTAGAAAATCAAAAACAGACTTATTTATATTACAAAATATGGCTGTTAAACTTTGAAAACATTTACTTTTAGTTCATAAAGGTTGATTATTTCATGTATTTGAATTCTTTCAAATTTAGTTTAACTTTGTAATTTTTCATTATCAGTTGTATTACGACTGGTACCACTATTACTCGTTTAATGTATGTAAAATCGGTAAAAATAAATAAAATACAATCAATGACAAAGTCTTGATAAAAAAAAAAATCAGTACATGCCAAACATGTACTACGTTGCTATACTTTTTACTATGTAACATTTACAAACTTATTTTTTACAGGGCAATGGAAAATTACCCTTTGTTTTTTGTGTTGTTTTTAACTGCAATAACAGGTAAGGTATACTTATATCTATACGAGGTAGCACTTAAATAGATGCTTTCATATTATTAATGTATTATGTTCAATTACAGTCGTATTTGGTCGATGTAAGCTGATGATGATAAACACGACTGGAGGAAGACTCATACAGGATCAATATGAACTATTTGCGTTAATTATCATTTTAATGCAAGGAATGTTATTTCACCGTTTAAAAAAAAAACTTTGAGTCTCTCGATTTTTACACGAGTTATCTCCCATTAAAAAGACGTTACTAACGTATGTAAACAAAAATGACACAACTTCCAGGTAAGAACTGGTCTGTAGACTGGGGTGACAAAGAAACAAATATCTGTAATCCATCTGGTTCCGAAGCTCGCATTCACCAAAGGCCCGTTTCAGGGATACTTAACAGAAATAGTTTTCATTTGTTATACAAAGGAGATCATATGTGGCATTTTAAGTCACAAAATAATTCTCTGGCGTAATTATTTTGACAAATTATTTGTTGCTACAGTAAAACATGTACAAGAGCTTCTTTGACATGTATTTTCAAAAAACAAATTCCTGAATTAAGGCCAGTAAAAATTCTGTCTTAACTGGCTTTTCTGTATCAGACCTGTATTAATGACCATCTGTGAGACACACTGAATCGTATTAAATGGAAAATTTATAATGTAGTTTAAGTTATTGGTTAATGAACTTTTATATTGATGGCTGCTTATTTTATAATGTACTAAATTCAAACATCGGGATGTGTTCAATCATTTCACACGCAGCACGAAACGTGTATTCGACGTTTTTGTTTTAAATACACAGTAAAAGTCTTTTGTGTCATCAATCATCTCATAATAAAATTTATAATTATTTAGATAAAACAGATTTGTAGAAAATGTATAAATATGTATAATAGTTTTATTAAGTGGGTGTTTTATAATCAACCCTGTATTATGTTAAAGTACAGTTGTATTGGATCGAGGTTAGCTGTATCGGCTCGAGACGTAGCTAAGGTCGACAAACAATCGGACTAGTAACTTATGATAAGATCATGCGAAGAAACTCTGGAAAACAAAACATATTTTTTAACGACCATTTGGTAGTACCAAGAAAAAACATTGAGGCTTTACGAAAAATATTTCGAAATTGTGACCTTCATTAGGTTTTATCAGTAAAAATTTAATTTGCAACAATTAAAAATCAGTAACCTTCCTGGACAATAAAAAACTAGGCTTAAAACAAAATGGGCCTAACAAATTTTGCTTCTCACAAAATAGGCCGGTAAAACACTCTGACCATTAAAGAAATTAGATAAGATTGTGAAAACGATATTATTTAGTAATTTTGAAGAAAACAAACTAATTTGAATCAATAAAAAACAGTTTACAAAATTACTAATGTAAGCAAACACAGATATAAAAAAGAGGTTTGAATTGTTTAAAAGTAGTTGATTCTATACATATTCGTAAATTACATTAGATTTAAGGAAATTGGAATATTTCTATATTTCTAATCAGATTTCCAGAGACACAGGAATCTGTTCGTGCACGTTAGGTAGTTAGAAATACACAAAAAGTGTATTAGATATTTAAGACACATATAAAGCATAGTCCAAATAGTACCAATCGTACTGTTACTCGTTGAAAGTAACACATCGGAGAAAAGCAGAATTTTGTTATTTCACAATCGAGGATATGAACGAGATTTTAGTTCAACAAAAATTAGAACATTTCCGTGATCATATATAACATTCAAGCAAACAAGTATAAACTTTATAAACATTCGTTGCTTGAAGTTTGCTGCACACATGGAAATTTCACATTAATGGAATGAAATAATGGCAATAGTAGTATACCGCTGTTCAATAGTCATATTTCGATTAATCAAAAACAAAAGCGTTGTAACAAATTAAGATATGTTGTAATTGATGATTGTAACATTTAAACAGGTGGGTCGATGGACGTTATTCCTCCAGGAGAATGTAGAAAATGTTCAGATGGTTCTGGCTGTGCTTATAGATATGAGTTCTGTAATGAATGGAAAACTTGTGCCAATGGCGAAGATGAAAACGAGGATATATGTAGAGGTACCAAGGTTAAATGTTAACCTGTAACGGGAATCTGTTATTTATCTATAAAATAATTGTTTCATTCTGTATTCTCGTATTATGTGTTTTCGTGCTATTTAGAATGATCTGTGCTATCACAATTTCCATCGAAAAAGAATGCGTAGTACGAATTCATATAACGTACGAAAATGTATAATTCATATTTTGTATCAAAAAAGGGCATTCTTTTTTTCTCTTTTCTTTCAATATTTTATACTTAATGGCCTTAAATTATTTTAAGAAATTCATCAATGACAACGAAATGACATACAATTAAAAAAAAAACGACCAGCCTTTACTGTTTAACGAATGTACTACTTTAAGCATCCGGTTCTTTTACAAAGATATCATGAACGTAAAATCATGCTTACTGAAATTAAAACCAGATTTCACTAGATATCATCTGAATATACCCGGTCAATGGGTGCTAAATCAATATTTTGTAGCTGATAATTCTAAAATAAAATATTTAAAACGTAGTTTACTCATGAGTTATATAATGTGCTTGGTTTTATTTAGATCTGGAATGCGCAAAAGGAAAAATGAAATGTAAAGACGGGATACATTGTTTTCCTGAATATTCTTTATGTGATTACTTCGCCTACTGTAAAGATGGTTCAGATGACGATCCTGAAATTTGCAAAAGTAAGTAGTGAGGTATAGCTGGAAAACATAATTTGAAAATTGACATAATATTGTGGTGTCTTGTTTTATCTTAAACTAGTAACGGTTTGTTTAATATTGTTTAAACTATAAAGAACATGCGGGTTTTTTTTTTCAAATAAAATTCCAACCAAAACAGTGTCAGCAACTAAAAAACATTAAAGCTATCAATTTTACTGCAACAGATACGCATTTTTTTTCAAATGTGGTAAGCTCATTATTATTTCATTAATATAAAATTAATTTTGGATTTCGTGTTAAAAATCATTATCGAAAACCTTTCTACTGTATGATTTTGCTTCCAATTATTTTTCTTTTAATATATTCAATGGCATGTATGATAGTTCATTCAGAAACCAAATTGAACATACTCTGTTTTTATTTAGACATGAATGCATGCATATCTGCCATGGAAAGTATTATATTTGTAACGACAAGTAGGAAATATTAAATCCTGTAAAGTCAAAGTAAAGCTAGTAACATGCATATATATGTTTATCAAGTTATTAGACTGCTACTTCTACAACAGTTCATAGTAAAACTTAATATCGTAATTGCAATACTGTAATTATTAAGTTGACTTACTGTTTCTACAAATTCAACAGAACGATTGTGTCCAACTAATACAACGAAGTGTAATGATGGCATTGTGTGTTATTCGCAAAAAGATTGCTGTAATGGTGAAGAATTTTGTAAAACTGGTGATGATGAAGATATAGAAATGTGCAAAGGTTGGTTCTTAAGTGCAAAATGTGAATACTAATTCTGTATTGTGTCACGGAGTTCTTGAGAGGCACTGGTTCAGAAAACGCAGTTTTAAATATTCATATTTATTATACACAAGTTAATATAAATACACTTTACAATTATAACATGGTTAAACAAAAACACGTTTATTCACTTTTCATTCTCTATTCTTCTCGAATGTCGACATTCTCAAATTTCTATATCACTTCGACTGCCCCTTCTACACTTTTCACACCCATCAAAGTAGTATTATCCTGATGACCACACAACTATAGGGACAGAACATAAACAATCAAAATCATAAAATATACGGCGTAATATGACAATGTTTGGATGTAAAAACACAGTTGCATTATATATTAAATATAAGGGTTATTCAGACTGTCTGCTACAGTTCATCAAAGCAATTGTCTAAGGATTATTCAACAACTTCAACCTTATCAATTTACTATCGTCTGTTAAACAAATGATTACTGTTGAAATACCATTTTTGAAAATATGGTAGCAGCCTACAATTTATAATATGCAAATTTAAAAAAAACAAGTTTACTGTCTTAAGTTGTTGAATATTTACAATTAGGTCAGTTCACTCAATTGGAACGATTTAAAGATTAACATGGTTAAACAATTGCATATACGAATGATACAGAAGTCTATATAAACAAACACTGTTCATATTAACAATAACAAAACGTGAAGGAATATTTTGATAAGACGATTAAAGGACACATGGACATGTCCTTTATTGAGGTTTTGGACTCTTTGCTCTGCGAAAAAATGTAAGCGCTATTTTGTCTGCGGATAAAAGTATTACTAACTAGCTGTTAGTAACTGTGAGTACTCTCAGATCTGTACTAATTGTCGTATTCGTTGAGGGATGTATAAATACCCTGCCACGTCCGGTCTGTGTTTTTGTTAGATGTTTTCTGCTTTTATCGATCTGATGAGTTAAGCAATTTTCAACTATGTTGTATAGTTTGTTCTTCTGTCATACTGTTACACTACTAATGTCCAAGGTTAGGGGGAGGGTTTGGCGTAAGCAAACTATTTTAACCCAACTGCATTCATTATTTGCCTTTCTGAAGTTAAGAGCCTGTAATTCAATGGTTGTCGTTTGTTCCTGTATATCATATTTATTTTTGTTCGTTCATTGATTTGTATATAGATATGTCCGTTATTTTTCTTGTTTGAATTTATTTAACTTTGTCATATCGGGTTTTTTTATAGCCAACTACGCGGTATGGGTTTTGCTCATTGTTGAAGGACGTACGGTGACCTATATATATATATATATATGGTGGAGAGTTGTCTCATTGACAATAAACAACATCTCCTTTTTTTTTGTAATACAAATGAAATATTTGTCTTAAGATTTTCAGTGCCCACCAGATCATGTAAAATGTGCTGATGGTTTACAGTGTATTAGCACTTATTACCTTTGCAATGGATATACAAATTGTAATGATGAGTCCGACGAAAGTAAAGAGACATGTGTAGGTCTGTATATTCTCGTTCGAGTAGCATTGCTAGCATGCTTTATATTATTTTACATACACTTTATTTTAAGGTTGTTCTGTGTATTTCACGGGATAAATGTTAAATTTGTATTCCATGAGGAGTACATACAAATATATTCCGAAAAGTCAATTTCAAGATTGTCATTATATGGATATTGTAAAATGTTAGCCACTTGACAACATAAGAAGCTTTGTTGATCTCATAAATTGCGCTTGTTTGACAAACCTCGTATTGTGACTAACAGCTGATATTTGAATTCCCAATATACTGAAAATCTAAGAAGAATAACAATATACTGCTAAAACTACCACATTATCGGCAGCAAGTTAATGTGTTTAGTAAATACAATTCAATTCAATGTGACCTTACGAATAACAATTATCACCAGGTTTATTTTACGTGAGCAACACGACCCGAGTCATATGTGAAGCAGAATCTGCGTACCTTTCTGGAGCATATGAGATCACCTCTAGTTTTTGGTAGAGTACTTGCTGGTTAGTCTTTAATATTCTGATGTTGTGTTGTGTATAAAGGTGTTTGTCTTTTTTCTCGTTTTTCGTTTTTTGTTTTTGCCTTTGCATTGCCAATTACTTTTTTCCTTTTTTTATATATCATTTGGTTTTTTGCGCCTCTCTTTTTCATTTCAAAAACTATCGCTTAATGTCGTACCATACATTGGCTAGAGGTAAAGGGGGAGGGTTGAGATCGCATTTGTATAGGCAAAATCCAAGGGACCCGTTACCATGGCAACAAGGACATAAACAAAATTTTTGTCAACATATTTCATGTTTGTTTATCGATAGCTACCAACAAACAAAATTTCTAGAAAATCTGAGACTATGCGTGCCGCAACTTGGTTGGTGGTTACAGAGAAATGCTATTAAGCAAACTATTTTAACCAAACTGCATTCATTATTTGCCTTTCCGAAGTTAGGAGCCTGTAATTCAGTGGTTGTCGTTTGTTGCTGTATATAATATTTATTTTTGTTCGTTCATTGATTTGTATATAGATCAGTCCGTTATTTTTCTTGTTTGCATTTATTTAGATTTGTCATATCGGGTTTTTTTTATAGCCAACTACGCGGTATGGGTTTTGCTCATTGTTGAAGGACGTAGGGTGACCTATATATATATATATATGGTGGAGAGTTGTTTCATTGACAATAAACAACATCTCCGTTTTTTTTTGTAATACAAATAAAATATTTGTCTTAAGATTTTCAGTGCCCACCAGATCATGTAAAATGTGCTGATGGTCTACAGTGTATTAGCACTTATAGCCTCTGCAATGGATATACAAATTGTAATGATGAGTCCGACGAAAGTAAAGAGACATGTGTAGGTCTGTATATTCTCGTTCGAGTAGCATTGCTAGCATGCTTTATATTATTTTACATACACTTTATTTTAAGGTTATTTTGTGTATTTCACGGGATAAATGTACTGCCTATAATTGCTTCTTGGATTTTAATTCTTTGCTATCTTACTTCTATGCACACCTGTCTTTCTGAGACCAGCCTTTCATAATACTTGTGTTTTAAGGATTGTTATGTCAAATATTCTTAACCCGGTCTTAATAACTCTGAACCGAATTGTACATATACCTCATAATATTTCGCAGAACACTGATAAATCTAAACTAACATTATCATTTCCTCTACCTACCAATTAGATGGTTTAGTCAAAAGTTAAATTTGTATTCCATTAGGAATACATAGAGAATATCATATGGCTTTTTCGATATCACATCCGAATCAACCCAAGACACCAATATAATCCCAAGAGCTTTGCTCGAGGGATTATATTAGTTGAGGGTTGAAACGGTGTGTGATATTGAAAAAGCCATATCATATACACTTTATTATATACATAAACCTCGAGCTCACGTAGATGATTTTTATGTGACATGACGTCATACAGGTAAGGAGATTTGAAATGACGTCATACAGATTATAGGTTTGACATGCCGTCATACAGATTAAGGGTTTGATAAAACTTTTGCAACAATGACTGCAATCGATGACGTGACGTCATACATATTAAAGGTGTGATAAAGCCTTTGCAACCGTGCTGATATCGATATCATCACGAGTGGCTGATACAGCACGCTTGCCAATGATAAATACAAATATATTCGGAAAAGTCAATTTCAAGATTGTCATTATCTGGATATTGTAAAATGTTAGCCACTTGACAACATAAGAAGCTTTGTTGATCTCGTAAATTGCGCTTGTTTGACAAGATGATTGTTTACAGTGTAGTACAACGAGTAATCTCTGTAATGGATATCCAAATTGTAAGGATGAGTCCGCTGAAAGTAAAGAGACATGTACAGGTCTGTATATCCTCATTCGGGTAGCATTGCTAGCATATTTTTATTTTATTTTTATTTTAAGGTTGTTCTGTGTATTTCACGGGATGAATATGCTACCTATAATTGCTTCTTTGATTTTCAATCTTTGTTATCTTACTTCTATGCACCTGTCTTTCTGAGATCAGTTCTTCATGATACTTGTGTTTTACACTAATTTGAAAGACTTAATTTAAATTTGAGTACTGCTTTACTTATATCTAACACATTTATGCATTATGATCACAAGAAGTATGCTATTGACAGATTTATTATAATTTGAGAGTTTTAATTTTAGCTTATATAGATTTTTAATCTTCTATGCAGGGTGAACATACTTTATAACACTAGTACACATATTAATGTTTCAAACGGCTAAATTGATAGGAGTCAATTTTGATATTTGAGTTAAAAAATATTTGAGGATATTACTTAGTTGTTTTGAAGAAAACTTTAAGTGTTCTTCCTTCTTTACATTTCACTATTGAAAAAATAGAGATGGGGAATTGTAAATATACTTTACGTATGGTCAATTCATATTTTCTATTTTTTGGTTATCCATACTTAACATGAAATGGTCATATTGCATGGTTGACACTATTTCTTGGTTGATTTCAAACACGTTCAAAGAAAATAACATATCGTAGCGAAATTTTATTAAAATTAACTTGTAACATATAACACATATATAAGAGTCAGCGAATGTGTTTTCTTATATTAATTTCATAAAAATGGCAATAGTCTTAGATACATGATTTTTTATTAGTTGTTATAGGCTTTAAACTAGCTGTCGAATACTCCCAGATCTGTACTAATTGTAGTTTTTGTTGAGGATGTATAAATACCCTACCAAGTCCGGTCTGTGTTTTCGTTAGATGTTTTCTGCTTTGCATTGATATGATGAGTTAAGCACTTTTCAACTATTTTGTATAGTTTGTTCTTCAGTTATACTATTACACTTCTACTGTCCAAGGTTAGGAAGAGGGTTTGCTTTCAGAGAAATTTTCTGTAACCACCAACCATTTTATATAGGGTGGTCGGCACGCATAGTCACCGATTTTCCTGAAACTTAGCCAAAACATGTAATCATGTAAAAAAGTAAGAAAAATGCCGACCAAATTGCTGCTAGGCCACGGTTGCCATGGCAACCAAGTAAATGAGTTTTCCCGTACATTTTGAGGAATTTAGCATCGAAAAAACAACTACTTTGCAGTCATTCAAAATCAAAACCAGGTTTTATTTAATGATATTTGTAAATATTTTTCAGAAACATGAAACTTAATAAACAAAAAAGCCATGTCATATATGAAAAATATTTTTGCTGAAAATTGTCACAACAACAGAAGCAGATGTCATTTTTCATAGCATTTGAGTAGACAAATTATACACATTTGCATGAACAAAATATACATTTTTGCATCCAACTTCGTTTAAGCTTTGGTTATTAATAAAAAATATCAATGATTATAGTCAAAAAATTATAACAAAATGTTTGGGATATTGGGTTCTAGAATGGTTACTATGGAAACAAAAATTTGCCATTTTTGCCTTCTAACCTCTGAAATTTGACCATGTTATTAAGATAATCCACAAAAAGTAATAACTATTGAATGACTATGATGTGCAAACTATTGGCAATTAAATAACTATAAATTTGACCCAAGGTCAAAGGTCATTGATGACCTTGACCTTTGACCTTGTGTATATTAATTAAATTTTGAAAGGAAATATAAAAGAAAGTGGCATACCATACATGTGGAAAATGTGCAGGACGTTTAAAGCCACTATTTTTTTAACATATAAACAATAGAAATTCAAGGTCATGTCAAAAGTGCTTAGCAACCACCCTTAATTGATAAAAAAAGTACCTAGAAACCATATATGATTTGATTCAGTATTATATAAACTATTACATAGACCTTACCTTAAATGTTTAGGGGGTGTCATCACATAAGTTTTAAACAATCATTCATCTAAAGTGGAAAAGTGCCTAGCAACCATGTATTTATATTTGAAAATTGCTTAGCAAGCATTTATTTATATAGGAAGACTGCCTAGCAACAATATATTTTCGGTTTCATTGGGACAAAATTCAGAAAAAAATTGATATTAACATGCAGTTTTCTTTAAGATTGCATGTATAATTCAGAATAGTAAATTATATAGCAATTTCAAGAGACGGATTACACATTCAAATACCAAAAATAAAGATGTCGTACGATTGTCAATGAGACAACTCTCTACAAGACACCAAGGTTTATTTTAAAGACAGGTCCTTGAATCTACAAGAACAAGAGAAAAGGAACATAACTGCTAAGGGGACGACCAGTTTATTTCTTTGGTTGGGGTTGGGCTTTCGGACAAGAGGTTTTGCATAGACAGAATAATCATTTTCACTAGTAATAAGGCTGGATTACTTATTTCATATTTTTTCATTGAAAAATTATTTTTCATTGTGTACACACCTTTTTCGTATTTCAAATCGTATGCGGCTGATGTGCATCTGAATGTATAGAAAGTTCCTTTTAGCATGTCTTGTGCAATATTATTGATCTTCAGTTCCAGACACCATCACATTCATTTCATTAAACATCCATTATTCCAATCACAAAATAAAAAATGATCTTTCCTAACTAATAGAACTACCCTGAATCCGCTCAATTGCTATGTTTGTATTTCAACAGTGGGTGTTTAAAAAATAAATGACAAAAAACTCTTTCTTAAAAAAAAATGCGTTGTGTGTTCTGCAAAATTTATTTTTGGCTCACATGGCCTACCGGGTCAAGTGAGATTTTCTCATAACATTGCGCTGGTCGTCGTTAACTTGTTCAAAAAAATCTTCTCCTCTGAAACTATAAGCGAACGGAGTAGGCCCAGCAAGACCCCTTTTTAGCTCAAAAAATATGCCGTTTTTACAAAGTTGCTAAAAATGTAAACTTTAAGCTATTTATAAGAAAGTAGAATACTTTTGTTAGATAAATATGGGTCGTGTTTGACAATACAATGGACACGCATCAGGTACTAGAATCATTATGTCATGCAAGAAATACTGAAAGTTTAGCACTTGTGCTAATTGTATGACAGTTTTTAGCTCACCTGGCCCATAGGGTCAAGTGAGCTTTTCTCATCACTTGGCGTCAGTCGTCCGTCGTCGTCCGTCGTTAACTTTTACAAAAATCTTCTCCTCTGAAACTATTAAGACAAATTTAACCAAACTTGGCTACAATCATCATTAGGGTATCTAGTTTTAAAAAATGTGTTCGATGACCCCGCCTACCAACCAACATGGCTAAAAGTAGAACATGGGGTAAAATGCAGATTTTGGCTTATATCTCTGAAACTAAAGCATTTATAGCAAATCTGACATGGGGGTTAAAAAGTTCATCAGGATAAGATCTATCTGCCCTGAAATTTTCAGACAAATCAGACAACCCGTTGTTGGCTTGCTGACCCTGAATTGGTAATTTTAAGAAAATTTTGCAGTTTTTGGTTTTTATCCGCAATATTATTATAGATAGAGATAAACTGTAAACAGCAAATAATGTACAGCAAAGTAAGATCTACAAATAAGTCAACATGACCAAAATGGTCAATTGACCCCTTAAAGAGTTGTTGCCCTTTATAGTCAATTTTTAACAATTTTTATGCAAATTTTTGTAATCTTTAACAAAAATCTTCTCCTCTGGAACTACTGAGTCATATTTAACCAAACTTGTCCACAATCATCATTCGGGTGTCTAGTTTAAAAAATGTGTCTGATGTCCCGGCCTATCAACCAACTCGGCCAACATGGCTAAAAATAGAAAATAGGGTTAAAACGCAGATTTTGGCTTATATCTCTGAAACTGATAGCAGTGATTGCCCTTAAATGAAGATTACTTTTACCCTCTTGTTTGTTTTGAGCAAAAACTAAAGAAGATAGAGAGCAACTAAACAGACTTAAAGATCAAAAACAAAAGATCAACAAAATAGAGATTTTGTCATGAAGTCTATTCTTGTCTACAATGTTGGAGAGTGTCCTTTGTTTGATATCTAAATAGACCAAGGTGAGCGACACAGGCTCTTTAGAGCATCTAGTTGTCTTAACTGGAAGTGACGGCACTAGTGTTCATTCTTAATATTAAACAAGAAAATGTCCATAGTACACGGATGCCCAACTCGCACTATCATTTTCTATGTTCAGTGAAACGTGAAATTGGGGTCAAAACTCTAATTTGGCATTAAAATTAAAAAGATCATATCATAGGGAACATGTGTACTAAGTTTCAAGTTGATTGGACTTCAACTTCATCAAAAACTACCTTGACCAAAAACTGTAACCTAAAACTTTAACCAAAAACTTTAACCTGAAGCGGGACAGACGGACGGACGAACGGACGAACGAACGAACGGACGAACGAACGAACGGACACACAGACAGAACAGACGCACAGACCGAAAAACATAATGCCCATAATTTGGCATTAAAAATATTGTATTTAATGAAAACAACATCTTACGGGAGTTTCTGCCCTTAAATGATGAATTTTAACATTTTTTTTTTCGTTTTTACCATTTATCTTGAAATCAATTATATATAAAGAGAAACATTTTATACAAAAAATTATCAGCAACACCAGGTCTAAAAAATATGGACTTGGTTGAAATCGTCACCTGATTTTTTTTATTGGAGTTATTGCCCCTTAAAGACGATTTTGTTTGCCTTTTTGCCTTATATCAAAAATATCATAATAGATAGAAAGATCTTTAAATTACAAAAATTATTAGCAAGACAAGATTACAAATAATTCAACATAGTTGAATTCGTTTGACGACCCCTTATTAGAGTTATTACCCTTTAATGTAATTGGGGTAACAATCAGCATTCAGTATTAACATATATATCAATAAAGAATTAGCTATGTACAGCTAAAAGAGTAAATAAATAAAATATACAAGGAAACAAGATACAGTGCTGTTATTTGAATTTGTTTCCCTTAGTAGTCATTTCAGGGCAAAACGCCTATATGGAGTCAAAAGAAAATTTCGGATATGCTGATTAATTAGTCTTGATAGTAATTTTTGCTATTAAATTGTAATTTTTCCATAATAATGTTCAATAGAAAAAACTTTGATTTTCTATATTACTTTCTATCCGTTTATTGAAGTTTGAAGATTAAGAACAAAAAGTAAAACACAAGGCCCCTAGGAAACTGTATTATGATTCAACTGGTATTTTGGTGTAAAAATGCAACAATAACATTAAAATAAAATTTCAAGCAAAAAAGTGAAATCAAATTATTATTTTGACGTGTTCCCTTTTTTCAATTATAGTGTATTTATGTCCCGCTAAATGTCCTGTTTATATATTTCTAAACGAGTAAAATATGTGGTAGGTAGATTGTATCAGGATGAAAAAGTAAAGGTCAAATCCGCATATAAAGTAAAATTTATCTTTAAGACACCCTGTTCTTAAAGATATTAATATACCAGGATACCTTGTTTGTGAAAGCTGTAGCAATAAGATAATTGTAACAGTTTTAGACCAATAAATACATTATCATAAAATCATTCTTTTGATATAATTCATTTTCATTAAATTTCCAAGAAAGAGAGAAGAGGAAAGAAAAGGACAGGAGAAAAAAAAAGAATACCATGATATGTTTTGGTTGCAATTTGCCCCGTAATTTCAGACAGATGACAAGAGATGAAAAACTCAATTTGCCCTTATGGCTAGGCTCGCAAAATAAAAATAAATGTGTTAAAATCGTCTTTTAAAGTCTTTTAACTTTTTTGTAACTTTTTTATCTAAAAAAAAATATGAAGCCAAATAACTGCAAAATTTGTAACTCGAATAATTCAATCCCTCTCCGTGTCCGATTTTCTTTCACGCGAGCCATCGTAGATCACCGATATATAACGACTGATTTTTTCGGGTTACAAAATTTGCTTAAAGCTGACATTTTATGTTGTCCAATTGTTCTGAAAATTTTACGATTGATCAATACCGACTGACCATAACATTCTTGTCTTGTTCTTACTACTTTATATATTACATGTTTATATGCCTGGAACAAACAGCATTAATTTTGAATTTCAAGTCTAAACAGGAGACAAAGTGGCTGGTGATTGATTCACTGAAATTCACATCAGTAAAATCATGTTTGTGAATTATTTAAGAAACACAATTACTGATTTAATGGATTCGAAAGTCTAATTGGAAGAAAGAATTACATGGTTGTTCTGCATTTCCTAACTATACGAGAATGGCTGCTAAAGTCTATGTTGGCAATATTGACCTCTTATCTTTCATTTAGGATCTATATCATAGTTCATATTAATCTGAACCCAACTATGTATGGTTGCTAGGTACTTTTAAATCAAGTAAGGGTCGTTGCTTAGAACTTATGACATGACCTTGACCTCCAGCATTTTGCTTTATTACCAAATAATATCAATAATCATTGTGAAGACTTTTTATATATACTGTATGGGTTTATTTGTTACAATTTCTTAACAAAAAATAATAAATTTAATAAAACAAGCATTCTGTACATACTCCCCTACCGGTTAAAAATTCATTGTATTGGAACAAAATTCTAACTTGATCTATAACTTGTCATGGTGTAAACTATATAACAAATATCAAGTCAATATCTTCAAGCATGATGGAAAAAAGTGTTTAAAACTGATTATTTAAGTGAATTTTTTAAGTTCAAGGACCATAACTCTGCACAAAATCATCAGACCGAAACAAAATTCGAACTTGATCTGTAACTTGTCATGATAAAACAATACACCAAATATCAAATCAATATCTTCAAGCATGAAGAAAAAGGTGTGGAAAACTGATTTGCCGGACTGACGGATGGACAGACAGACAGACAGACAGACGTACGGAGTGCAAACCTAAAGTCCCCTTCGACTTCGTCGATAGGGGACTAAAAAGACTAAAGGTCAAAGGTCAAGGTCATCAATAACGTTTGACCTTTGGGTCAACCTTAAGGTCTTTGAATACACAACATGTCTCTAGTGATTTTCATCCTTTATGTGTCACTATTTTTGAGCAATTCTAATAACAATGTCAAAATTCTTTTACAAAATAACAAAAATGACATTTTAACGTTCCCATAACAACCACCCTAGCAACCATTTTCTCAAACCTTTAGTTATATATTATTCCTAGGCAACAGTGATAGTTTGCATTTATTACCTCAGTATAATTGGTTGTGGATGCAGAAGGGTGAAATTATATCATTCAAAATGTCTATAATTTGCCTTCTTCAATACATTGAAAATTCCATTATCTAAATCAGTGATATCCCCTTCTTCCCTTTTCATCAGAATTAAATTTTATCTTTTATCTTACTCATTAAGTGTTATATTTAAATGAACAAAAGTCAAAATGTTCATCAAAATTGAAATGTGTGCATGATAACTGCTTAAAATGGGTCATTTTTGTTCATTAAAATATGCATTTGTATAGGCAAAATCCAAGGGACCCGTTACCATGGCAACAGGGACATAAACAAAATTTTTGTCAACATATTTCATGTTTGTTTATCGATAGCTACCAACAAACAAAATTTCTAGAAAATCTGAGACTATGCATGCCGCAACTTGGTTGGTGGTTACAGAGAAATGCTATTAAGCAAACTATTTTAACCAAACTGCATTCATTATTTGCCTTTCCGAAGTTAGGAGCCTGTAATTCAGTGGTTGTCGTTTGTTGCTGTATATAATATTTATTTTTGTTCGTTCATTGATTTGTATATAGATCAGTCCGTTATTTTTCTTGTTTGAATTTATTAAGATTTGTCATATCGGGTTTTTTTATAGCCAACTACGCGGTATGGGTTTTGCTCATTGTTGAAGGACGTACGGTGACCTTTATATATATATATATATATGGTGGAGAGTTGTCTCATTGACAATAAACAACATCTCCTTTTTTTTGTAATACAAATAAAATATTTGTCTTAAGATTTTCAGTGCCCACCAGATTATGTAAAATGTGCTGATGGTTTACAGTGTATTAGCACTTATTACCTTTGCAATGGATATACAAATTGTAATGATGAGTCCGACGAAAGTAAAGAGACATGTGTAGGTCTGTATATTCTCGTTCGAGTAATACTGCTAGCATGCTTTATACTATTTTACATACACTTTATTTTAAGGTTGTTCTGTGTATTTCACGGGAGAAATGTTAAATTTGTATTCCATGAGGAGTACATACAAATATATTCCGAAAAGTCAATTTCAAGATTGTCATTATATGGATATTGTAAAATGTTAGCCACTTGACAACATAAGAAGCTTTGTTGATCTCATAAATTGCGCTTGTTTGACAAACCTCGTATTGTGACTAACAGCTGATATTTGAATTCCCAATATACTGAAAATCTAAGAAGAATAACAATATACTGCTAAAACTACCACATTATCGGCAGCAAGTTAATGTGTTTAGTAAATACAATTCAATTCAATGTGACCTTACGAATAACAATTATCACCAGGTTTATTTTACGTGAGCAACACGACCCGAGTCATATGTGAAGCAGAATCTGCGTACCTTTCTGGAGCATATGAGATCACCTCTAGTTTTTGGTAGAGTACTTGCTGGTTAGTGTTTAATATTCTGATGTTGTGTTGTGTATAATGGTGTTTGTCTTTTTTCTCGTTTTTCGTTTTTTGTTTTTGCCTTTGCATTGCCAATTACTTTTTTCCTTTTTTTATATATCATTTGGTTTTTTGCGCCTCTCTTTTTCATTTCAAAAACATATCATTTAATGTCGTACCATACATTGGCTAGAGGTATAGGGGAGGGTTGAGATCTCACAACACATGTTTAACCCCGACGCATTTTTGCGCCTGTCCCAAGTTAGGAGCCTCTGGCCTTTGTCAGTCTTGTATGTTTTTTTTTAATTTTAGTTCATTTATGTGTTTTGTAGTTTAGTGTGACGTCCATTTTCACTGAACTAATACACAATTTTATTTAGGGGCTAGCTGAGGACCACCTCCGGTTGCGGGATTTTCTCGCTGCGTTGAAGACCCATTGGTGGCATTCGGCTGTTGTCAGCTCTTTGGTGGGGTTGTTGTCTCTTTGACATATTCCCCATTTCCATTCTCAATTTTATTGAAGGAAATATTGTTTAAATTTCTCACGGTCGTCGTGTGTTCACTTTATTTTGTGCAAGTGGTTTGCGTGTAGGATTTATCGTTACATACACTGACACACAATATTCCTTCTTTTACATTATTTAATTTTGTAAACAGCCAGTTATTTCTGCTTCTCTATTATGTAAAGCGTTTCATGCAGTATGAGCATTTTTCTTTAATATATTTATATTGGATTTGTGTTTAAATCAGGGCTAAAACATTGTCGACTTACAGCACCGAAATAATAAAGATAATGTTCTTTAGAACCCAGTAGACAAAACTGTTTTTACTCATTTGATTATCAGTTGAAAAGTGTAGACGCGGGAATAATTTTATGATTATTATTCAGATTTCGACTGTGGTGAAGATAAGAGCAAATGCCATGATGGTATTCAGTGCATATATAAGAATGGTCTATGTTCTGGTTCGCCGGACTGTCATGATGGATCTGATGAATCACTCGAAGTCTGTAATGGTAAGAATACAATGAAATTAAGGAGTGCAATGTACATGATGTCTATTTCAAAATTCAAACTTATTACCACATTGATCTTGGCCTATTCGGCGAATACGTCACTATTATTTATGGAAATATACTCATTTATATAAAAATTCTTAATTAACGAAAATCAAAGCAATGAAATATCCATCGTATTTTTGTTTGAATGAGTACGAGCATGTCTTACCACAGAAACGTTAAACTATTAACTGAATCCCAGAATGTCCTACCACAGAGACGTTAACGTACTGACTGAGTGCCAGAATGTCCTACAAAAAAGACGCTTATCTATTGACTGAGTACCAAAATGTCCTACCACAGAGACTTTTAACTATTGACCGAGTCCCAGAATGTCCTACCACAGAAATAATAGCGTATTGCCTTAGTACCAAAATGTCATATCACAGAGACGTTAACCTTTTGACTTGGTACAAGAATGTCCTACTACAGAGGTGTTATCGTATTGACTGAGTCCCAGAATGCCCTACCACAGAAACGTTAACGTATTGCTTTAGTATCAGAATGTCATACCACAGAAACGTTAACCATTTGACTGAGTACCGGAATGTTCTACCACTGAGACGTTAAAGTATAGACTATGTACCAGAATGTCCTACCACAGAAACGTTAACGTATTGACTAAGTACCAGAATGTCCTACCACAGAGACGTTAACGTATTAATTTAGTACCAGAATGTCCTTCCACAGAGACGTTAATGTATTGACTGAGTACCAGAATGTTCTACCACAGAGACGTTAACGTATTGACTGAGTACCAGAATGTCCTACCACAGAGACGTTAACGTATTGACTTAGTACAAGAATGTCCTACCACAGAGACGTTATCGTATTGACCTAGTACAAGAATGTCCTACCACAGAGACGTTAACGTATTGACTTAGTACAAGAATGTCCTACCACAGAAACGTTTTTGTATTGACTGAGTACCATAATGTCCTACCACAGAGACATTAACGTATTGACTAAGTACTAGAATGTCCTACCACAGAGACGCTAACGTATTGACTTAGTACCAGAATGTCCTACCACAGAGACGTTAGCGTATTGACTTAGTACAAGAATATCCTACCACAGAGACGTTGTCGTATTGACTGAGTCACAGAATGTCCTACCACGGAAACGTCAACGTGTTGACTTAGTACCAGAATTTCATACCACAGACACGTTAACTTTTCAACTAAAAACCAGATTGTCCTACCATTGAGACGCTAACGTATTGACTTAGTACCAGACTGTCATACCACAGAGGCCTTAACCTTTCGACTTAGTACCAGAATGTCCTACCATTGAGGCGTTAAGGTATAGACTATGTACCAGAATGTCCTACCATAGAGACCTTAACGTATTGACTTAGTACCAGAATGTCCTACCACAGAGACGTTAATGTATTGACTTAATACTAAAATGTCCTACCATTGAGACGCTAAGGTACAGACTATGTACCAGAATGTCTAACCACAGAGACGTTATCGTATTGACTGAGTCCCAGAATGTCCTACCACAGAAACGTTAACGTATTGACTTAGTATCAGAATGTCATTCCACAGAGACGTTAACCTTTCGACTAAGTCCAGAATGTCCTACAATTGAGAAGTTAACGTATTGACTTAGTACCAGAATGTCATACCACAGAGACGTTAAAGTATAGACTGAGTACCAGAATGTCCAACCACAGAGACGTTAACGTAATGACTTAGTACAGCATGTCCTACCACAGAGGCGTTAACGTATTGACTTAGTACCAGAATGTCCTACCACAGAGACGTTAACGTATTGACTGAGTACCAGAATGTCCTACCACAGAGACGTTAACGTATTGACTTAGTATAAGAATGTCCTACCACAAAAACGTTAAAATATTGACTGAGTCCCAGAATGTCCTACCACAGAGACGTTAACTTATTGACTGAGTTCCAGAATTTCCTACCACAGAAATAATAACCTGCCGGAAAATGATATATTCCGTAGGTAACAGCTGTATTATACTATTCAATCAAGGATTAATGTTTCAATTCCTTACTTTTGTGTTGTGTTCATTTTATTTTGGGTTTGTCGTTTGTCTTGGAGTATTTTCTACCCAACCACTTTTTACTGCTGATTGACTATGTAAAGCGTTTGATGGAAGTTTTTTTCTGATATGTTACTCAATCAGAGCTTTACATTTGTGGATTAAAAGCACCGATATAATACAGATCATTTCCTCCTTTAAATAATAGTAGAAAACAATGTTTTGTTTCATTTCATTATCAGTTGAAAAGTATAGACGTGAAAATAACTTTTCTGATTATTATTAAGATTTTGAATGTGATGGATCAAATGATGCCAGGATGGTATCCAATGTATATATCAGGTGATCTATGTTCTGGCTATGCACAATGTCATGACATATTTGACGATTCATATGTATTTTAATTTATATCTATAAATGACCACTTGCACATTCCATGGCGTTTCGTTTACAATTCTATAATATAGTTCAAACGTTAATAGATGGGGCAAAGTTATGTCATAATGTTGACTTGTTTACAAATGGTGTCGACTGAAATTTTCGCTGAATTTAGTTCGATATCTTTATTAAGTTAAAATTGACACATACTAACAAATGTTTATTCTTGTACGATTAAAAAACGAAAATAGTTCATTTCCTTAGACAATGTTCGACAAAGTTATAGCAAGAACGATTATGTAAAAAATATTATCAAATAAAAGTTTTGAATAAGAAGTGAAATATTTGAATGGAGCACTTTTAAGAAGAAAATATGGACCATTTGTTACCGTGCGCATTGATAATCTTTTATCGTGCTTCAAGTTATCATCAGGACACTTGTCTCGAAAACGAAAAATTATGAATGTCAACTGATATTTCAAATACTATTACTCATGTTTTCGAATCAAGGACATGTTTTAAGTAATTAATATTAAAAAAAAAATGGTAGTAATCATGCAAACAAAGTGATAAATGTAAACTTATACTGGAAAACAAAACACACAATTTACCATTTTGTAATAAAAGCAAACCGCAAGAAGAAAGGAAAAGATTTTCATTATAGATGCTAACCGTTTCTTTAACCATAGTGATGCGTCGAAACTTTTCTTAAAATGAAACGTTTTTAGATTTAATCTTTGTTTGATTTCTTTGAAATTTAGATTATAAGTGTCCAGATCATCAAGTTAAATGTAGGGATAACATAGAGTGTAATTATACATCAGACCTGTGCAATCACTATACCAGTTGTAATGACGGATCTGACGAGGATGAAGAAATGTGTAAAGGTATGTTCGTGTATGAAAGGTCATGTAGGATATTTGCATCAATTTGGTAGTCTTTAAACAATAGAATTTCAAAAGATCTTTGATTTAGGTCAACTAAAGACATCTATGGTTAACGATTGACTGTTTCATAAACCAAGCTGTTAAACGCGCTAACCTTTAACAAATGTATATATAAGACTTAACTCATCTGCCTTGTAATGCAAACAAACAAAACAAGTGTTCTCGTTTATTTGTTTTACTCTTTTGGTGCTTTTTATAGCTTACTATGCGGTATGGATATTGCTCATCGTTGGATGTCGTACGGTGACCTATGACAGTATATGTCTACGTTATTTGATCTCTGGTGGAGATTTGTCTCACTAGCGATTTTCTTATTTTTATCAAAACAATAGCAAACATAAAATAAAAACAGCAAACAAAAACAAAACCAACATATTATAATGTTAAAATGCAAATGACGATTTATCAATTGTATGCGTCGTCATTGCTTTTTTGGTTTTACCTTAATCAGGAACATAACAGCCAAATATTTTAAAGCCAGATGGATAAATATCGACCTATAGTCAAATCCGCCTGAGGTCAACGTTTCCTGTCAGAGTTAGAACCTTAGCTTGTTTATAATTTAAGAAATAACGAGGACCATATACATTTTGAATTATTCTATGTAGCTATTCCATGTCAGAACAACCAGGTCAAGTGCGCAAATGGTCTTCAATGTGTCTATGATTCTACTTTTTGCGATGGATTGAAACATTGTTCAGACGGTTCTGATGAAGAGGAAGAGATGTGCAAAGGTTCGTTAAAAGAAAACAACTATTTATTTCTCATAGCATAGACAGAGTTTATAATTTCACTTTTAATGAGTAATATGTAAATCTAAACATTTTTTAAAATTTATAAATGAAGTAAAAGGTGTAAATGTTGTCGTTTTTTTAGTGTGTAGATTGAGGATTGAACGTCGCGTTTCTTTGGAGTATTGATACGGATGAGAGAAAAATGATGAGTGATAAAGATAAAATCCCTTCCCAATACATGAATCTGATGAATTTTATCAAATATTTGGAAAATAATTTTGTACAAAATTGTTATACTTAAACTTTACCTAGATCGAAAAACAAATCAAATACCATTGGAAAGAGTTTTGCTTTTCAGATTTATACTTTATTAAGATAAACATTGGCCTAAGATGCCAAATTCTAAACATTTAATTCCGATTGATGACTTTTTTCTGCATCAATTTAAAATGCCAACACTTTCTCTTTTTTTCTTCAAAATACTGAACCGTTACTGAAAATTAGTAGTTTTCATATCTCAGGATGGTTTGTATAAGAAAAATATTGGATTGCATCAACCAATCTGACCATATTTGCAGTTATAAATCAAATAGCGGTATCACAAATTAGTAAATTTGTTAACTCATGATGGATTGTAAAATACAAATGACAACGGAATATTGGTACACATTGACTAGACAACTTTGTCTGCATCAATTTAGAGTGCCAACAATTTCCTCTTTTGAGTAAAAGTACTGAATTGTCATAAAAAATCTGTAGTTTTGATATCTCAGGACGTTTTGTATAATTGTATAATAACTTTGTCTGCATCAACCAAAAATTATAATATTTGTACTCTGTAATATAAATGATATGGCGGTATCATAAATCAGTAAATTTGTTAACTAAGAATGATTGAATAACACAAGTGACAGCGAGATTGGTACACATTGACTACACAGTTTTGTCCACGTTATTTTCGAGTTGCAACGTTTCCTCTTTTTAGTCCAAATATTAAACCGTCACTAAAAGAAAGTAGTTCAAATATCTCAGGATAGTTTTTATAACAAAACGTTGTGTCCGCATCAACCACAAGTTACCTTATTCGTAATTTATAATACAAATGTTATAGCTGTATTTATCGGTCAATATGCCGAAATTGACAAGAAGGTTCACAAGTGATGCAGAAAATTATACAACGCATATATATATCCGGACACTGTACAACTGATGTCTAAAATATAATCGAATCAAAGGTAAACAAAGTGAATCACAATGAAAAAATCTATTTATTTCAGAGAATATATTAATTTGTAGGAGACTGTAAACAATGAGAAACGAAGCAACATAAACAATGTTGTTACTATCCCATCATATAAATTCAATTTTCCAAAGCATTATATAACCTTTTTATACACCTTCGGATTGAAAAAAAAAACTTTCCTCTGTTTATGATACCTGCATGTACATATATATATGTCGATCAAAAAATGCGAAATTGTGTCCACATTATTGTTTTAACACAAGAGTAAAGAAAAACAAATTTGTTAATGTGTATACATAAGTCACAGTGTAAATAGAATAGTACTTTGATGTATTGTAGAATAGAACAATACGATTATCGTTTATATATTCAAAGGTCATTTCTGATATGAAAAGGGCTAACAATTACTAGCCCAACAATCAGGTTTTTGAATTTTGTCTCTAGCATATGTTTGCCCTGAGTGGAAAAGGAAATGTGCTGATGGACAACAATGTGTCGACGAACAAAGTAGTTTGTGTAATGGAAATGCAGATTGTAACGATATGTCAGATGAAGAGCCAGGCTTTTGTCGAGGTACTTTAATAATGAACTGCTTAATCTTTTCTCGAACAAACATTTTATTTCTTTGTATCGTGAAGGAGATATGCCAATATTCTAAATACACAGATTATCTACCAAATTAGTTATGAGATATAATATACAATAATTCTTTCAAATTGGTATCAATTAAAGTAGAAAATAGTTCTTTTACAAGTTTAAAAAAAAAACCAGCCATTTAAAAGAAATAACATTTGGCATGGTAATATCTCAGCGTTTTTATATCAGTTATGTTAAAATTGATGTTGTAACATGATACACTAATGTGTCCGATGTGTATACAGAGGCATTACTGAAAAGAAACTCAGTTTGACAATACAAATTAAAATGAATTTTTAAATAAATCTCATTGGAATCACATATATCCGAGTTTTAGCGGCGCAAAATTAGTATATGATTGAAGAACCAACTGTTCTCATGTCTGAATTTATCATTTGATTATATTTTGCATTACATACATATATCTAGATTATAGCTGCAATGATTACAATCAAAAATGTTCTGATGGATTGCAATGTATAAGTGAATACAGCTTATGTGACGGCCATGAAGATTGTACAGATAGATCAGATGAAGATCCAGACGTCTGTAGAGGTATATTCTGAAGCAGTTGTCTTTATAATTAATGTTGCAAAATAAAAATGATGTTTAACAAATGCAACGTTTATACAATATGTTTATATGCAGAAACACGCAGACTGCACAAGAACAATTTTTTTCTATGTTTATTTGCACCATTTCCATTATGTACAGATTGATGCATATATTGTCGTTTTTGTAATTTTTTGCCATGGCATTGTCGATTTTTTTTTATACTTAGGAGTTTGAATATCCCTTTGGTATCTTTCGCCTCTCTTTTGCATGATGACAGTTCGTAAATGGTGTTAACTTTACACATAAATAATACACCAAATACCATTACATTATACACCTTTCTTCTTTCTCCTACACAAATCGCAACATTCAAAAATGGCCACATTGTAACATGTTTGCGGGAATTTCCCATTGTATTACACCATTAACAGAACAATTGATAGATGGCAACGACTGTTCTTAAAAGGAAGAAGAAGAAGATAAACGATACGTTATACGCGTTTAATTGGAAATTTTACACCATTTGAAGGCCGTATAGTTCATCAAAAGGCTAATTGCTTTTTAAACAATACAACATACGGTTATATGCAGTATATAAAAGATAAATTCATTTTCATCTCCTTTAAAAGATTTTTAGACATTAAGACATTTAGATTGCTATAATGTATTGCTATAATCGGTTTCAGACATATTACAACTAGTTTTTTTTCCAATGTTAGTAGGGTAGGTACATGAAATGAGCAAGGGTTAAAGTATTTTTTTTTTATGATAAAGCTCCTCTTGTAAATCACAGCTAGTTGACCAGCAAAGTTTACGTGAAATGATATGCAATCAAATAAAATGAAGCCCATACACTCGTTCAATTATTGCCGTAAAACAAATACGTTTAAGCTACTGGTACCTTTTATTGAATCTGCTGTCATATACACCAAAATAATGATGCATTCACCTCTAATTATAGCATACACACTGTTATAACCACCACTGAAAGTCTTGACTTTCTGCAAATTTCTTTTTAATTTGTTTGATTTAGTTTATCTTCATACCCGTTCAATCATCATTTCAATTTCATAAAACAATGAAATAAAAACAAATGTTCTTGGTTATCACACTTTCAAAATCAATAACGAAGATAAAAGGTATTCAATATTGAACAATTTTCATCGGTCGCTCAAAACATACTAAAACGCTAGTTGTAATTAATGTGAGCTTGTTAAAACTACAGAATAAATATCATTGCTTTAATTATTATGTTTTCATGCTAAACATATACAACTCAAAAACAAACACATTTGCTTAAACATGAATAAGCAATAAAACATTATTCTTCAGAAAGGGAATGTGACAGCGACAAAGTGAAATGTGATGATGGCATACAATGCATTCATAAATCAAATGTATGTAACAAATACACACATTGTAATGACAAATCGGATGAGGATGAAGATATGTGTAAAGGTGAAACATTATAATAATATAAAAAAAAGGAGATGTGGTATGACTGCCAATGAGACAACTATCCACCAAAGTTTATGGTGTTTATTTTGGCTGCAGTTCAGTGTTTCTGTTGTTCCGTTGTTTTCCTCTTATAGTTGATGTGTTTCCCTCGGTTTTAGTTTGTAACCAGGATTTGTTTTCGCTTAATATTGAACAGCGGTGTACTACTGTTGCCTTTATTTCTACCCAAAATTCATTAGTATTGGTCGAATTAATCCATTTCAATGACAAAGTTCAGGAGCATTGGATACTGAAAATTCCATCTGTTGTGAGGATTCAGGCTGGGTCATCAATGTATGAGGGTTAACAAATAAAAATGATCGCATCAAGGATATTTCATGTGAGCACAACGACAAAAGGGCTGACTAATTCGCTTGTTATACCTTTTGGATAGATTAAAACACAAATATGTCACCGGCATTGGCTGAATAAATTCTTTAAATACTGTCACTAGTAACGATTTTTAAAATGAAATGGTTATTTTGATCTCAACATCATCTGAAAAGTGTGAACACTATTAAGTCATGTTAAGACTATCAGTCAATTTTTAGGCTAAATAAAGGCAACAGTAGTACACCGGTGTTCAAAAGTTTTAAATCGATTGAGAGAAAACAAATCCGGGTTACATACTTTAACCGAGGGAAACACATCAACTATAAGATGAAAACAAATGAACAACAGGAACAATGAAGTGCAACAAAAACAAACGCCAACATACATAAAAACGAACTATTTGATAACAACTGCCATATTCCTGACTTGGTACAGGACATTTTAAGAAAAAATGGTGGGTTGAATTAGTATTTCAAATTATTTGTAATGTAATGGTTAATTTATTATCGAGAAATTACCTTTTAGCAAATGATATTTCATGTCAACGCATGAGTACTGACCACCGAACAATTGTTACCCCCGAGGAGGAAACATCCAGAAGTAGAGGGTTCGGTCCAGTGGGTGTAAAACAACCTAAAGGCATACATTTTCTCAGTGTTGTAAACGAGGCATACCTGTCAGTGTTGTTCAAATATTTTTATGATGACTGGGTTCGTAAAATGTATTTTCTGATTGCAAACTTGCATACAAAGCATAGACTATATTATAGGAAATCAAATGTTTTCTGGATCTGTATTTTTGACACGCAAATAAATATTGCTATGATTTTTCCAGGAGTCCATTTTTCATAATGTTATTCAGAAACTATTTGTTACACTTAGTTCATCATGGATAAGAACTTCTTTTGTTAAACATTATCTAGGATTTCAAATACGTATTTAACAATATTAAACTATTTATTTAAAACCGGAGTTAAGACTAAGTGTTCCCATTTGTATGATAAATATTGCGACCTTTATTTTTAATTTGTTTTTAATTTTATGTAGAGGGGTAATATAATATAGAGGTTGGCTGAATTATCAGGCTATTTTGATAAGGTGTTTCAATGTAATGAATGTATACGTTAATTACAGCTAGAGTTTGTGAACCTGGCGAGAAAAAGTGTGCAGACAATTATCAGTGTATATACATAGATCAGGTTTGTAATGGATATACGGACTGTAATGATGAGTCTGATGAAGATGCAGTGGCCTGTAAAGGTACGTTTTACATTTTACTTACTGCTTATGTACAGATATATTTGGTCAATTTATTTTTTTGGAAGCACTGTATATATCCACATGCTCTTGACTTTTGGATTCAGTTTTTAAAACCAACACATTTATTAAATGATCGATCTTGATTTCCTTTCGTATATCATCTGAGTAATATACAAAATAATGTTTTCCTTAAAACTATCAAATTGATTTATTGTATACAACTTCACTCCTGTCATCTAGATAATTCATAATCAATGATTAAACCATACAGATTTGAAGAAGATCGCCACGCACCACTGTTAATACGTTGAACATATGATAATAAAAGGTATATAGAAATAGAGAATAAACTTACTGACTTGGTAAGTTAAACGTTGTAAGAATATTATCAATCACGTCCAAACTGGACTGACGATTGACTTAAAACCATTTTCAAAAGTAAAATAACAAAAATACCGAACTCCAAGGAAAATTCAAAACGGAAAGTCCCTTAACTCTTGGCAAAATCTAAAAGCTCAAACACATCAAACGAATGGAAAGCAACTGTCATTTGCAAGTTATTGATGTCGTAAAAATAGTTCAAATAAATGTTAGAGACAATTGATTCTAACCATTTGACAAGACATACCGATTATTTATCTGATGGCCTCTTCTGGTTATTGTTTTCTAGAATATCAATGTCCAAATGGCAGAGTTAAATGTGCGGATGAAAAAGAATGTGCAAGTCTAGACCGTATCTGCGACGGCCGTGAAGATTGTCGTGATGGTAGTGATGAAGATAAAGAAAAATGCAAAGGTAAACAACTATCATAACAGAGGAGGAAACATGAAAAGAAGTAAATTCAACAAGATATTCACTATCATCCAAAACAACTCCCCAATTTTTCATGGTTATGTTCCGGTTAGTCAATTTAAGTCCCATTTGCGCAAGCTTTCGTTGGAATTTTTGTTCAAGACCTGTTTTTGTATGTAACAATGACAATCACTCTACGAACAGTGTAATATATTTCGCTATAAAAGGCATGTTTGAAAGAAAATGTTTGTAAAAATTAAAGATGGTTTGTTAATATAGGAATCTTATCGCACAAGTTAAACATGTTAAAGCATAAATGTCTCAGACACAAAGAGGTGTTTTGTGATCGTATCTGTATTTCCTTATTGTGATGAATCCTTACTTTATATCCATATACTGATACTTTCATATATATTGCACTAAACATATGCAGTTTTCTTGTGATTTCATTCCAATAAAATATTTTGAACAACAACATTGTTATAGGTCGAGTTTTCGAGGTTCATAAATACAAATAAGGTTCGTTTGATCGGATTTTGAAGGTTGAATTTACGGCCGGTATTAATGGACTCGGCGCATGTTAAAGAACCATTGCCAAAATGTTTCCATATTCTATAGAAAGACTGTAAGCAAAAATGATATCTCAATCAAAATATTTATGTTGAGTGTAGGTTTATATTTTCTGCTGCAATTCCCTGTTCAATTTATTCATTTCATAACTATGCATTAAATTATTGGCGCATGCTTCCCTGTTCTAACGAAATATCATTGTTTTAAGTGAATTAGAATAATTCGTGTCGACAAGGTTGAAGAACTTGTTTTTTTTTAAATTTTTGTTACATTTGCCCTCCTCTTTAATATAATTGCAATTTTTGTCTTTTGAAATAAACGAATTAACGATCATTCAATACAAAAGATGATTCACTCAAATCATGTTTTGTTTTCGCCGACATGAAGGTTTCCAACATTTTCAAATCAAACACATTTGAATGCAAAATAATCAATGTATCTTAATGTGTATTTAGTTAAACAAAAGTTAGTAAATATTTTCGAATAGTTTGACGGTGTAAGAACCAATGTGCACAAATTGAATAAAAACTGTTCATGACTAACATTTTTTTCAATAAATGAATATAGACCAGCTAAATTTAGAAAGTTATTTTTATCAACCGTCCCCTGTCATAGGAAATGTTCTTCTAATGCTTTTTCTAAGCTCACAAGGCGTTGATAAATCATGCAAGTAAAATTGAGGATGGAAATGGGGAATGTGTCAAAGAGACAACAACCCGACCAAAGAGCAGAAAACAGCCCAAGGCCACCAACGGGTTTTCAACACAGCGAGAAAATCGCGCATCCGGAGACGGGCTTCAGCTGGCCCCTAAACAAAAATTTGTACTAGTTCAGCGAAAATGGACGTCACACTAAACTCCGAAACATATAAATGCCCTAAAATTAAAAACATACAAGACTAACAAATGCCAGAGGCTTCTGACATGGGACAGCGCAAACAATGTGGCGGGGTTAAACATGTTTTGTGAGATCTCAACCCTCCCCCTATACCTCTAGCCAATGTAGAATAAACAAACACACAGCAATACGCACAGTAAAACTCAGTTTAAAAGAAGCATTGCAATCACTGCAAACACGTACATAAAATTTGGTAACAAAATTTTGCAGTATAACCAATATATACAGGTTGAGACAATAATCATGGCAATCCGTAATAGTCAAGTATAAATCTTGACATGAAGTTTTTCTCCCATTTAGTAAACTTTCGATACCTTGTTTCTGTATGGCTTTAAATAACACAGAATATACATGATATACCACTGAAATATGTAGCTGTATAATATCATTTTTTTTTTACCATAATTGAATTATTTCTTTCAGCAAGAGAATGTCCTGATGGTTCTAGAAAGTGTAGTGATGACTATCGTTGTATTGATGACAAACATTTGTGTGATGGACGTCATGAGTGTTCAACAGGAGAAGACGAAGATCCCGATATGTGCTTAAGTATTTATGCGTCTCAGTTATTATAATAATTAGTTGCTGTCTTTGTTAACTATGCTACAAAAAAAACCCAAATTACTGAATATTAAATCATTCATGTCATTAGTGGCAAAACATAAAACACATAAAAACTAATTAAATATCAAAACTTATAAAATATAAAAACTTATAAAATATTTAGATGGACATCTGCTTTTAAGTTCGCTTGTCATAACGTCACATTCTATCCAAACACACACATATATATATATGTATATATGTATAAGGACGTCTCAACAAATGACAACTCTACGACAGATCCATCTATTGGATCACCAGTGAAGGTGATAAACGGCTGAAAACACATATTATATTCATAATTACTCTAAATATCAGCACAACAATGTTAAATCTGCAAATTTGCGGAAGCAAATTTTTGTTCTTCCCTCGCCGGGATTCGAACTCATGCTATTGGGATATCGAGACAACACCGCCTACACTGTGTCCATCGCTCTAGACCACTCATCCACCTAGACTGAACTAACAATTCAGCTTTCGGTGGCCTAGTGTTACCTTTCCTTGTCAGTAGAATCTAGAGTTGTAACACAGTACATGATATATATTAGGAGCAAAATTTTAGACTTATATATATATATTTGTATATATAAAAATCTAAATTGAAAACAACGTTCAAACCTATGATTGCGTTGGATAAAAACCGCAATTTTTATACGTGTGCATGTAAAACAATTTTCTTGGAAGAGGGGTCTAAATACAGCACAAACAACAATTTCCAAAAGACCAAAAAAAGTGAAAAAGTCTATTTTAACAAAACGCATTTGACTAACAGGTCGAACAACTGATGTTCTTAAACCCTGCTGACTGCCATTGGCGATTGCCAAATAAATTGATCACAAAATCTAACGAAATGGATCTTAATATTAATTTAATACCAAACAGAAAACAATAAACTTGTGGAAAAGATGGTTTACCACAAACATTAGGTGCAAAAATTTGTACACCATATCCGGATTTCGACAATTAATGTCTCTTCAGTGATGTTAGGGATCGAAACGGTATTTGGAAGGCCATTTAATTTACCTTAATTATATATATGTATATCAATTGCTTTATTAAAACATTCTGGAATATTATCGGTACTTCTGATACCGCTGAAGAAAATTATATAACAATAGGTCTATATTACATTTAATATTTTACCACACTCACACTCACATACACTTGTAATCATAATTTTGATTTGATGTCTAGTTCTAGAGATTGCACTTATTAAAAATGTTCAGCTTCACTTATATAAATCTGAATTGCCAGATGTATGCATTGGTTGCGGTTGCTGGAAAATGTTAAAAGTTACATATGTTAAAGTTTTCCAAGACAAGTTAGATTAATACCAAATTGCTGTACTTGTATGTCTAATTAATCCGAAACGAAGGTATTTCAATTTACTCGCCGTCTCTATTAAAAAATTGAAAACAACACGTTTAATAATTTCATGCATCCGAAGCGCTTTTCTGGATTATCCTTCATCAGGAACGCTCAAAGCCAAATATTTGAAATCCGAGGGATGTACACTACCAACAATTTGCCTAACGTTTACATGTACATTAAATGCCGCTATATAAACAGTACTTTTAGGGAACATAACTAATCAGTACATAAAATGCCGCTTTATTAACAGTACTTTTAGGAATCATCACTAATCAGTACATTAAATGCCGCTATATAAACAGTACTTTTAGGAAACATCACTAATCAGTACATTTAATGCCGCTATATAAACAGTACTTTTAGGAAACATAACTAATCAGTACATTTCTTACCCATACATTTTCAGTATATTAATTTATATATCATTTTTAGTAATGTTGAGAAAAAGTTGTTTACAGTACTGAAAATTTCAGTCATTTTTCAGTAATGAAGAAATCTGTCATTTTTCAGTACTGAAAATTTCAGTCATTTTTCAGTACTGTAAATTTCAGTCATTTTTCAGTACTGTAAATTTCAGTCATTTTTCAGTACTGAAAATTTCAGTCGTTTTTCAGTACAGAAAATTTCAGTCATTTTTCAGTACTGTAAATTTCAGTCATTTTTCAGTACTGAAAATTTCAGTCATTTTACTGTACTGAAAATTTCAGGCATTTTAAATTACTGTAAATTTCAGTCATATTTCAGTACTGAAAATTTCAGTCATTTTACAGTACTGAACATTCAGTCATTTTTAAGTACTGAAAGTTGTAGTCATATTCAAGACCTAATGAAAAAGTTCTCGGTTATGCTATCACAAATATCATAACTCCCAAGGGTGAGTAGGGAATAGAAATATGGTCACTTGGTCTTCTTCCGACCGACAGTAAAACGCTTGCCAAAGTTGGGCGTCCGTTTGGCTGTGTGGGATGTATCAAGTTTGCAGCTACGTCCTGTCAGAATGGTGAGGTAAATCCGATGCCCCGTGTAAAGAGAATGTCAAGCTCTTTGCACGTTAAGAACTCTTGCAACAACTCTTCGAGGGGTCCGTAGGTAGCCTGTTGCAAGGAAAATTTCTGTCCCTATCCAATATACCCTCATTTTCCAGTGACAGTCGAAATTCCCCCGACCATCATCCCGGTGGGCCTCTATAATTACAAGACCTACCTATTGTATTTATTGTTAACTTGTTCTCGTCCTGAACATGCATGAAATATTTGCCACTGGACGTTTAGCAACCAACAATCAATCAATCATCAACAAATATCTTAAGTTGGTTTGGGATAAATACAAGTATTTTATTTTAAAACTCCATCGCTGTATGCATTCTTTCATTTCAACCCATTAATGCATTGAAGATGATTCTTTTGATGAACTTTATGGCCACATTCTTTATGTGCCTGTTTCAAGCCATGACTTCTCATTTTTGATTGTCGTTGTTTGTTGTATGTCATAAATGATGTTATTCAATGTTTTTGACGTAGATCAGTGCGGGTTTTTTTTTTTATTCTTACGACTAGTTTCGCTAGTTATTAAGTAGACTTTTACAGCTTTCCGTGCGCTATGATTTTTTCATTGTTGATTTGTGTGAAAGACGAAAAAGGAGCTGTCATAAAGACAGTCAAATTCAATCACATAAGCAACAAATACAAAACCATCAGACAGAGGTCACCAATACAGTTCTTCAATGTTTAGCAGTCCACACCATACACGAAGCTCTGAATGGCTCCGACAAAAAAAAGATGTTATCTAGCTGTACAGCACAATGTCAGAATATCGTTTATTCTACTAAATGTATAACTACACAAAGACATATCTATGACATGACTTTGTCCGACTTGGGACAGAGGTGCATATAAATGTGGCGGGTTAAACCGATTTTGTCGACGTCTGACGTTGGACATTATGGTTATATATAGTATCCTTGTTCTGTTATTGATAATTGGCAAGCATACCACATCTCCTTGTTGTTATAATACAAATAAATATGTAGGCTATATATGCAGTCGTCCATATTAAAACTGTTGCTCTTTAAGCAACAATGCATGGTCATAGCTATTTTTGACTAGGTACTTTCTTGGAGCACTTACATTGCAATGAAGTCTTTAATATAGTTCACGTTTCTCCTATAGATGGAAAACATTCTTCTGATACCATGACAGTTTGTTATAAGTAATAATTTCAAAGTAATTTAAAAGAATATGCTCACATTTCAAGATCTTTTTTATAACATAAACCTTGGACAAAGTCAAGAGCCTGTAGTCTAGTGGTTGTGGTTGGTTCATTTCGGTCATATTTGTTGTTTGCAAATTTGTTTTGTTATAAATTAGGCAGTTAGTTTTCTCATATGAATTGTTTCATATTCATATTTTACATGTTTAAACCTTTAATAGCGACTTTACGGTATGGGTTTTCACTCACTTTATTAAGGCCGTACAGTCGTCTATAATTGCTTATATCTACTTAATTGAACTTTGGTGAATAGTTGTCTCATTGGCAATTATAACCACATTTCCCTTTTTTTTTATTGTAATAGACCTATTTGGCATGTTTGGGAGTTTCAACTTCTACAAATAAAATGCTTTAGATTAGTTTGTATTTCAGATAGCTCGCTATCGGTTTAAACCAGAAACCAGCAATACCAACATTGATATTTTCTATTCAACGGTAAGAAATTAGAACCTTAACTGTTCTTTGTGTGGTTTTAATATTGCATAAGAATTTTGACAGCAGTAGATATTGAATGAAAAGCTGGACTAATTTTTAGGGTAGTAAGTTAAACTACATAATGTAAATATAAAAGGAAATATTAGTTAAATCCCAATGAAACAGTAACCCTTCTACCAAAGATATTTCAGTCTATTACTATATGAAGTCTAATTCGGTTTTCTTCATCTTTAACGTCACAACTAAAAGAGTGTTCAATTGAAAAACAACGGCAATATTTTTGTCCTTGACCTAAAGCAGTTAAATCCAAAGCGGTTGGTGTAAAAGAATTATTTAAAATACAGACAAATGTTCTACCTATGAAATGAACACGAATCGAGTCTTCATATGAATTTAACAGTAACTGAACATATTTTAGATAATATTAATGCTTATCTAGCATACCTTCTATCTTTTATAATACATAAAGTTAGAAAATAGATATGTCTTCTTTTTGGTAGTGAGCATGTGTTCATACTACCATTCTATATTTCTTTCTTGTTGTTCATATTTCTTATTCCTCAACAATAAAAGTCAGTCCTGTAAACTCTAACCAATAATGTCTCAAATATAACATATAAGATGCAACAAGAATGCTCAAGATGAAATGTCTCGCCTGCTTTTCTATTCATGAATTATTTTATGCTGATAGTCCTAAGGATAAAGTTTTAGTACAAGTGTCACATAAACCTCACATTGTCAAAGATCCATGAAAATGAAGTCAAGGTGAGATAAACCTATTTAAGCAAGAAAGACATGTATAGCTGACAATCATTACACACACCTAATATAGTTTTGCTATTGCTTATCTTATACAAGAAACAGACAAAACC